CGCCTCGCTCAGCCAGCTAGCGGGAACCGGTCTGTATGTGGGATCCGAACCCTCGGGTGGGAGCGCCGCCGCGCTTCCCAAGTGGCGCACTTATCCAGTGCGCCACCGGGCCGGCCCGCAAACCGTAGGATTTTTGATAAGGTTTAGTTTGTTTGGCATGTTAGACATCTTTGTGCTTTTATATTATAGTCTTGATTATTTGCTAACTTTCTGAATAAACTTGAGTAAAATCAAATAAATTAAATCAAGGATTTTGGTATTTTCTCCACTCAAACCTAGTAGTGTGTGATGGATTAGATGTGGTTGGTTGGGGATGAATGCAGAAATGAATGATAGGTTTAAAAAAAAATCCACCCCCCTGCACTTGAGAAGATGTATGTAGGTAGATGCTTAAATAAGAAAGTATTTGTGATATGTAATCTTTTAATCTGTTTATTGATTGCTAAATGTTTATTTGGTATTCACTACTTTGTCTTCTTCCATGTGTTTTTCTGAATTAAAGGTTTGGAAAGGGAATGCTGCTCTAAAATATAGCATCATTCTAGCACTAGTCGTACTGGTCAGTAACTCCTACAGCAATTTTATTTTTGCCCATCTTTCCTTCTACATTGTTCCTTCCAAGTATAAAAGCATATACTGTATATGGGTGCAAGATCCTAAATCCCTGTATGTTGACTAGAACTTAGTGGTGATGCTCGGTAAACTTGAAGAATGTATGATATTACAATGACCAAGTTAGGATGAAGGAGATGTTATTTTATATCAGTTGTATTTTTCTGGATGTTGTGCTGTTTCATAAAAAAGAAATTAATGACAAGATAATGTAACCCCAAAAGGACTCATCTTGTGACTCTAGACTGAGATTGACGAAAAATAACGAAATTTTGAAGGAATTTGTTGGTGGATTATATTAAATTCAGAAATAATGTTTTTACTTCTTTTGGTATATTTCAGGCAAGGATTTGCCTTCTGTCTATCTGCTGTTCTACTTGTTTGGCAAACTAATGTAGCTTGGAGAGTTTTGCTCCAAACTTGATGTTGCTACTAGCCAGTAGTTGGGGACTATTTTTTCCCTTGCTGTGTACTGTAATCATGTGTCCCAGAACAAATGCAGTCATCCCTAATCCAAGGATGTTCAAATCCCTTATAAAAAATGGCATAGTATTTGCATAAAACCTATGCACATCTTCCTGTATATGTTAAATAATCTCTAGATTACTTATAATACCTAATACAGTTGTATTAGTCTGCTTCTGTTGCTTTTAACAAAATACCTGGAACTGGGTGATTTTCATAAAGAAATAAGAAATTTATTACTTACAGTTTCTGAGGCTGGAAACTCCAAAGTCCATCTGGTGGTGGTGACAGTGACCCAGGGGTCTCATGTTGCAAGATGGTGGAAGCAGAGAGAGCAGAGAAAGAGTAGCCTCCTCATTCACTCTCCTTTTAAAGTCCTCTGAATCACGCCCCTGACCACCATTATTAATCCATTTGCTAAGGCGTGGTCCTAGAATCTAATCACATCTTCAAGGCCCCACCTTTCAATTACCATAATAGGATTTTCCACCCTCTTAACAGTCACAGTCGGGACCAAGTTTCTAATACGTAAAACTTGAGGGACACAATTCAAGCTTTGGTGAGTTTTGGGGGGACATAATTCAATCCACTACAACACTGCTTATGCATCACTTCATTCATATGAATTCAGCGTACTGCTTGGCACACAGCAAATTCAGGTTTTGCCTTTTGGAACTTTGTGAAATGTTCTACTTTCCTTTACCCTTAATACTTTCAATCCATGATTGATTGAATGCATGGATGCAGAACCCACATACGGGGGACTGGGTGTAGCATGATTCCATGGTTATTTATTTTTTGTCTTCTCTGTCCCCCCCACACTTATATTATTTGACTTGCAGTAGGAAAAATAATTTTTTTCAAAGTTTTAAGTGTAAGATTAATTCCTCACAGATTTCATAGTGTTTAGTAATACGAGAAAATGTTCACAGTAGGTTAAGTTGAAAAAAAAAAGCAATACTTTATGATTATAACTATGTGAAGTATACACCTTTTATACATGGTAAAAGCAAGGAAGTTTACTGTGAAGTTTCTTAATTATTTCCATGCAGTTGGCTATTAGCAATTTTGATTTTCAAAATTTACATTGTCTTTTCCAAAATTCCATTAGTAGTTTCAAATTATTATTATAATTAGGAAAAAACATTATTGGGCACACAGGTCCGGCTGTGTGCCCCTTTTCAAAAAGAAACAACTCAGAAGTCAAATGTTGGTGAAGATGGAAGTCAGCTTTTATTCAGGAATACCAATGACCTGAGGGGAGATGTTAGGATAACCCATCTCTCCAGTAAACCTGAAGAAGGAGAATAGCTAGACTAAAGCCATCTCCCCAGTAAACCTGAAGGAGAATGGCCAGGCCAAAGCCACCTGAAAGACTCAGATTTACTGAGGAGTTTTTAAAGAGGGGACCAAGGGAATGGAACGTGGGAGAATGTGAAGCAGGAGGGAGGGAGATGTGAGCCATGGCGACTCTGTGCAAGGAACCAGGTACAAGGTCTCGCCAAGATTCCGTCTGCTTTCTACTCCCATCCTTATCTCAGGGTGCTACTGGAAAGTATGTGCCTCGTTGCGGGTCTGTGGCTTCAAGTTGGTTGGAAAAGAACTTTACATTAATGTAAATAATGTCATTTTGCCCTGTAACCAAGGTTCAAAATATCAACTAACCATGGGAAAAAAGAGAACTCAGAGAAATTCATGCCAAGAAAAAAACTGTCTTTTAAAAATTTGCTTATAGCCCATGCGGTTTTAGGTCCCAACATGGCTTCAGTCCTGCTCACTCTAACAAAAATAGTTATTAAAATATTTTTTCACCTGGAAACCAAAAGCTGCAATGGCAGGAGAGTTTTGTAATGCTTTGCTTTTTATTTTATTAAAAAAATATTTTTTACTTAATAGACAATGTTTTAGATCATTTTAGGTTTATAGAAAAATTTTGTGGAAAGTACAGAGAGTTGTATATACCCCCTGCCGTGTTATGGGCTAATGTCATAATCCTGTCAACATCGCCAGTTGTAGAGCTCTTCTGCAACAACTGGGCCAACTGTTGAGCTAGGGCTGAGTCTAGAGCTCACAGACCCCTCAAGTCTGTTGTCCAGACTGGGTCACACACTTCGTACGCCAGGCTAGGTCACCAAACCCCTTACACGCAGGTCTATGAGCTAGGTAACTGGCAAACAGGTCCTTGGAAGCCACAGGTTGGAAAGCATGGCTGTGCATGGCAGTGACCGCCCAAGGCACTAGTCAGCCAAGGTGGTGGCACTGCGCAGGCGCACTAACTCCACCCACACACCACCTATTCACAGCAAATGCTCACCAAGGTTATGAACATCTGAGGGGCCCTGACCATTTTCCTATATTTTTTCCAGCACCCCTTCATCCCCTCTCTCCAGTTTCCCCTATAATTAACTTTTTGCAATAATGTGGTACATAATGTTACATTTTTTTCATTACTGTCTTAGTGAGAAATATAAAGGAAAATCAGTATAGAACTCTAGCAGATTTTCATTTTCTTTATTCATTATGCTTTGATGATTCTTTTTTTCTTTCTTTGGGGAAGAAATTTGTTAATTTATTTTGAGCTGGATGTGCAAATTCCTGCTTCTCTACCTCCTTTAAAAGAAAAAATCAACTGTGGTTTTTTAAAACTAGCCCCTTTTGGGAAAAATGCAATAGTTACTAATGTTTATGAAAGTGTTTGCGTGCCATCTTTTAAATTCAGTAATAGTGAGTTCCTCAGTAACTTCCCAGAGCAAATGTGGTAATTTTAGAAGTTCAATATACACTGACCCAAATATTTTCTTCTTATTTTGAATATATTGCCCTTTAATTTCAGTTTATAGGACAGAGTAAATAGGACCCATTGACTGCTTTTAAATACGTTCTTCAAAATTTAAATCACAGAGTCTTCAAAAGAGATAAGAATCAGAAAGAAAGCTGAGACAAATGGGTAATATTAAATACAAAACAGTATTTTACCTTCCTTTCTGAAGCCATTGTATTTTTTTCAGTACATCCCTTGTAATGTAAAATATTCAGTTTAAGAAACTGTATGCAGAATTACAAAGTAATTTTCTATCTTAAAGACTACTTTGCTTATTGGCCAAAAAACTGCAAAACCCTGTATTACTCATCTAGCCCATAATGTACCTTTTTTCGCTATTATTTACATTTTGTATAATTTGTGGTGGTAGTGTTTCTCAAATACAAGTGGTTCCCAATTTTTTCTATTTTGAGGTAGAATTTTAAGCTATTTTCTACTCCTCTCTAATCCATCTTCTTAAAAATAGTTCATTCCTTTTTCAGTCATTCCAAGTCTTCTTTGTGATGGTCTTTTTTTA